TTTAATTAGGTTCCTGTATTGCCTGGAGAATATTTATGCCACTTTACCCTGCAGGAGTCATGTTATTCTTTGGGACCCAGATGGAGTCCAGCAGGTTGGAGGCTCCTATCTCTCCCACAGTTTCACGCTTCTGTTCRGTAGAGATGCCGTAGAGGTATTTCTTGTATCCCTTGTTGTTTTGTATGCATTACGATGTGTTTGGAGAAGAGAGGAATATCTTTTTTTTTTTCGAGAGAGAGAGAGCGAGAGAGAGAGAGAGAGAGAATTTTAATATTTATTTTTTAGTTCTCGGCGGACACAACATCTTTGTTTGTATGTGGTGCTGAGGATCGAACCCGGGCTGCACGCATGCCAGGCGAGCGTGCTACCGCTTGAGCCACATCCCCAGCCCYGAAAGAGAGAGGAATATCTTTATAGGAACATCAAAAAGAAAAGCCTTTAAACCTGCAAGTTTTCTTCTGAGCTTACTATGAGATGTGTGCATATGCACATTTCTTGCATATTTCTTGCTGCATTCCCCCTACCCCAAATAATGTGTCTTTTCAACATTGACTTCCTTAAAGATTCAAGGGTTATCTGGGAGATATTTTCTAGATTATAGAACAGTTAAAATTTTTTTATGACTAATTTCCCCCCACTGTCTTCTAATTTGGGGTATTATTATTAGGGAATATGGCCTATAAAAATTTTCTCATAACYATAAGAGCAAAAGAAAAGTATATGCTCAGTGTTTAAGAAATAAAAGTTCTGTTGGGCATTGTGGCACATGCCTGTAATTCCAGCAGCTCTGGAGGCTGAGGCAGGAAGATTGCAAGTTTGAAGCCAGCCTCCCAATTTAGCGAGGCCCTAAGAAACTTAGTGAGACCCTGTGTCAAAATAAAAAGGATATAGTTTAGTGGTAAAGCACCAATGGGTTCAGTCTCTGGTACCAAAAGAAGAAAAAAAAAGTTCTGTAATTATGAAATAAAATTGAATCGTTCGACTCCTATATATCATTACTTTAAAAAATCTGTTTGACCCACTGACTTCTGAAAGAGACGTAGTAAGTGCCCACCATGAGTTTATACACATTTTCAAATTCTTCTTGTATTTTTGGTGTTTTTCTTTTATGCAGTTGGCTGTTATGTTGCTTGTTGTATAAAGTTTTACGACTGTTATATCTTCTTGGTGGGTTGCAACTTTTATTATCACACAATATTCTTCTATGTCTTGTTTACACGTTTGTCCTTGAATTTTGCTTTGTCTGACATTGACGCTTCTGCTTTCTTTATGCTTGCCTTTGCACAGTCTGTTGTTGCCTCTATTTTTAACCTTTCTTTTTTTTTAAAGTGGGTTTTCTTTAAGTAGCACATAGATGGATTTATTTTTTAATCACATTCAACAGTCTCGGATTTTTAATAGGAGAATTCTTTCTGCCTACATTTATTGTGTTAATGGACATATTTAGGGTTCCTTGTCTTTGCATAATTTTCTGTTTGTTTTCTGTATTGGCTGCAGATATCTTTGACTAGAACTAACAGAACACACAACTAATAGTTGCTTAATTAAACAAATGTCTATTAAATTAAACTTCCATGTCTGGGTTGCCTTATTTTGTTTAATAACTGCAGAATTTTATTTCTTGAGGTTTCTTGKTTTTCTCAAAGGACAAGAAGTCTGAAGATGTCCTGAAATGGGTGATTTATTTAGCTGTTCAAAWTTTCCAGGGGCACATCCTGGTCTATCTTTCTGCTCCCCCGTGCTCAGCCTGTGATTTTATCCTCATGCTTATAAATCTTCTAGCAACCTCRAGCATCATTTCCTCAAYCTCTCAGGAAGATGCAGAGAGAGAAAGGCTTCTCCTAAGAAGTTTCATCCTGTGGAGGAGAAAGCCCTTCACTGGGGCTTCTGCCAGTATCTACTYTGTTAGAAATGTGAGTCTTGTCACTCTTAGATCCATCACTTGCCAATGAGAATAACATTATGGGAYGGGTTTAGATCCATTGTTATTTTGTCCTTTGAGGCTGGGCTGGAAACTCACCTTTCCTACAGGGGAGCGTCTCTGCTTCTCCCTGAACAACTTGGGGTTCTGTGGTGAAGGAGGATGGTGGGCTGGGGTGGATGGTGTGGAGGCAATTGATAGCGTCTGCTGTGATAGTTACACGTATTTTGTTCTTTCTCTGTTCCCTTTACTTACTGTGACAGGATGGGGATGTCACTAGTCATTTGCTTTTCTTCATTATTTTGTTGAAAGTTTTATAATTCTAGTAGTAATGGCCTCTCTGAATTATACCTAGTTCTTGATTACTATATTGCCCTTAATGTACTAAAAATATAACAGTGTCCTTCTATATTAGGGGGATTAATGTGCCTTGTGCAATTGATAAACCCTGACATTTCAGTACATTTACATGACGAAGGMTTATTTCTTGACTGCAATGGTTGGGTGTGGTTTCAGCAGCTCCTCTGTGTGATCTTGTTTTAGACATTGACTCATGGATCAGGATGATTTTTTTTTCTCAAAATTCCATCATCTTGGAGTCATTTATTTCCTGCTGGGTGGACAAGGGAGAAAATGCAGAAAAGATATAGCAGCTGCTCATCGCCTCAGCCTGGAAGTGAGACCAATCACTTCCCCTGACACTCCACAGACTAGAAGTCAGTTGTAGGGTCCCACAGAACTGAAGGGAACCTGAGGAGTGTGGTCCTTGGTGGACTAGAAAAAAGGAATGCAGGGTGGACCTAGCATGGTCACTGTCATTGATTGCCATTCTGAACATACATTTCATTTTCTCCTTCTTATGAAATGCATTCACCACTTTTTTAAAGGGATTCCAGTCACTGCATCCACCTGGAAGTCCACAGGGTCCGAGGCCCCACATTTATCTCTRTAAAGTCCAAATGTGCTAAATAGACATGTCGTCTGAATACCTCTCACCCTTAAGACCAAYATACAGCACTAGCCAAGGCCAGAATATCTCTTGGCATACTGCCATTTGGGAAAGGAGAGAGCGTGAGACCTGTTTTCCCTAGTCTATAGCATCCTTGAGTCCTGCAGGCCGGGCTCTGAGAGTTCCCCTGCCTTAGCCATGAAGGAATTCCTTGAATGGACTTGACCCCCTTGAGGACGCTTTTTCTCCTTGATTTTTGACCTCGGCCTCTTCTGGAGTGAGTGTTGAGGACCACACCCTCCCTGGTCAGCATGATCTTGAAACCCRCCTCCAGCTCACTAAAGTTGGCACCCAAGAGTTGTTTGAGTCTTGAACAATCAAAGGCTTTCTAGTTTATACTCCAAAACTCAAAAGGCTTCTCCTCTRTTGGCTTCCATGTCCCAGGAACAATACCTAAAATTCTTTACTAGACATTTTCTAACAGTTGACTTTATTTCTTTGCTCCTGGACCCCTATGTGTCTCACTGTCATCTGCAGGCATCTACATTGAAGTTCTTTGTAAAACAGTTGTGAGAGTTGGCACTCAATGTTCTTGGGTTAGTCTGGCTTCTCTGAGGAACAGGAATGGGGAGGGATTCACCATGCAAGGTTTTTTTTTTTTTTTTTTTTTTTTCCCCTCAAGGAAAATGCTTGTCAGAGAAAGAGGGCAAGGAGCTGGCCGGGGGCTTGGAGAGACATTGCCCTGCAGTGCAGTCCTCACCTTGACTGAAGCAGAGAGGGAGGGAGGTTGGTTGGAGGTGTCCCAGAAAGTTTGGCAAGGAGTCTGGTGTGTCTCAGGAATGAGCCTGGTGTGCTCAGTCAGAGACTGAAGCAGACTCTGAAACATGGCCTTGGACAAACCCAAGAGCCCCAGTGAAGGGCTTTCTCCTCCACAGATGAAACTTCTTAGGAGAAGCCTTTCCCTCTTTGCATCTTCCTGAGAGATTGAGGAAATGATGCTTGAGGTTGCTTGAAGATTTATAAGCATGAGGATAAAATGCCCTCAGTAGTAGGAGGCTGGTGAAGCACAATCTTGTGACCACCATGGAGCTTTGTGTCCTCAATCATGTATTCACCTTAGAAAGTTGACTCAGCTCTACATGAAAATACTTTAAAGGTTCCATCTCTTATAGTTGGAGCCCTCAGAGAAAAGGAGATGTTTTTCTCAATCCTATGAAGTCCCAGATTTCTAAATGGTCTCTATTCTCTCTCATTTTACTTGCAAAGCCCTCAATTCTTCTTTAGACTCATTTCCTTCTCTTGACACTTTGCCAAACACAGCCACTAGTAACCAACACACATTACAAACTTTTTATTTCCCACCCTCTTCCCTTATAATGAAAGTTCAGGAAGCCCTGGGCCTGATTTTTAAGTTACAGTGTCTGACATTTTTACCAAATATTTTGCTCTTGCTTGACATGGATCTCGAGCCATCCAGCCTAATGGACATCACTCACCACTCAACTGAAAGTCAATGATGCGTAGTTTATATGTGTTTCAGCAGCAGCTGTTTTTTGAGATAGATCTCCATATTAGTCATAGTAATCAATGCCATCTGTTGCAGTAGGAAAACTGAGAAATCTTCGTGGCTGAATCTAGCACAGGTTTATTTCTTGCTCAGGTTACTGTCTGATATAGTTCACAGAGACTCAGCATCAGGCTGCTTCATCTGGCTATCTACCATACTTGATTCTCTTTTTTTTCTAGCTAGTGGACAGGAAGAAGAGATGCAGAGAATGTTTACCACCAACTACTGCCACAGCCCAGGAGTGACATAAGTCAGTTCCTACAGAAAGTGCCTCACTGTTATCTACATTCTCTTTGATGAGGATTTTAGGAGAGCTCAGTCACAGACACCTTGGGGACCTGCTCCTGCTGGCTGGCTTAGCTATTGTGATGCTCCCCAGGGGGARAGGGAGGGAAGGAAGAGAGGGTCTTGGACCTGCCTTTAGGCAGTATCTCTCTGGAATCGTATTTGTAGATGACACTGCTCTGCTATGAGGGGTGTAATGGTTGTGTGCCATTTCCTAACGAATGGAAATCAGATATGTTTCTTTTTCCTTCTTTATTCCTCCTCCTGTTGTGAGGTAGCAAGTGACAAACACATCCAGTGGCTCTTGGGAGAAGATGGCGAGGTCTGGGTCTGGGTCATGGGCGAAGGCCCTGGTGACAAGCCTTATGAAGAGATCTCCGAGGAGCTGATTGCAGAGAGAGCGCGGCTGCAAGCACAGAGGGAAGCCGAGGAGCTCTGGTGAGTGGTGCTGGGGCAGGAGGGGTGTTGGTGGGATCTGACCCACACAGCCTTGGGGTAGGTACAAGCCAAAGACCATAGGTTGTGGGTAGGAGGTAAAAGGTACCATCTGACTGGCTGTTTTGAGCTCTGCTAAGATTAGGGGACCAAAGCGTCAGTGTCTTGCATCAGGCAAAACTGAGGGTTCAAACCCTGGCTCTGCTAATTACAAGTTAGCTAATTGGGTCCTCAGTTTTCTCATCAGTAACATAAGCCTAACAATRCCCTTCCGATGTGCATGTAGTTGGATTCATCTTGATTGTATATACAACACGCTTTGGCTCTTTCCTGTACTTAATTGTCAGGGGGACAGTACAGCAGTTTGGATTGACTTTTGTTGTCTGTTTGTTCCTCTATACATCATCCACGTTTCTCACACAAGATGGACGGTTGAGTCCCGGGTGAGGTTAGAGTGAGACTCTCATAAATAATTAATTTTTTTTTTTTTTGCCAAACTTGGAAATCCATGTGAAATTGACTCTGACATCTCCYCACCACCAATTTTGAATGACAATATTTTAATTGTAAGCTGCAGAAGCCCGTAAACAACACAGAAAACTATAAGGAACAGATTAAATAGATTATAGAACGACATACCATCTAAGATAACTACAGTGAGCATTTAGGTGATACATGCTCTATAAAGTCTTCACTTTGACAAATTGATGAATATAAATCCACAAAACTATTTAAGATTACTATATAGTTTTTGAGAAATACAACTTGTTGGTCCTATTGACAGACATTTGAGTTATTTATTATGTTATAAAAATTCTCCAATGAACATCTTCTACATACATCTGTGTACACTTGAGTGAGAAATGGGATTTCTGAATCTTGTTTGTCTGGCTTCCAGAATGATTCTACTGATTTTAACCTTCCCATATGTGAGAGTACCTATTTCTCTCCATCTTGGCCAATGTTAACCTTTTGTTGACCTTCAATATTCGCTATTCTCTAGACCAAGGGAAGATTGTTCGTTGTTCTTATTTGAATTCCCACTGAGATTGTGGTCCTTGAGTTTTTCACTCAAGCTGATTCCTGCTGGTGCTCTCTTGGAAGGAAACAGAAGGAGGCAGAGATCACCAAGAAGTTCCGGGATGCTCTAGCCAATGAGAAGGCCCGGATCCTGGCGGAGAAGTGGAAAGTGGAGATGGAGGACCGCAAGGCTGCCAAAGTCCTGGAGGAACGCATCCACAAAGAATTCAAGGTGGGCCACTGCATGGGGCACCTGTGTGGTGGCTCTTGCTCTAGCTCCAAGGCCAYTGCGGCTGATCTCTGATTTGGATCTGACCTTGGCCATTGGTTGGTACTGGGTGCTTTATGAGAATAGAAGAAGGAACTTGACACCATTTGGTCCCATCCATCTCTTGCACAGATGAGGAAACTGASGGGTAGACAGAGGAAGAGAATTGCCAAGGTCACATGCAATAGTGGTTGGGTCAGAACTCAGGTCTTCTGCACCCCAAACCAAGGATCCTGAAATGAGGGCTTTGGAGAGAATTGGGTTTCTTCTGGTCAGACTAGCCTGGGATCCTATTCCAACTTTACTATTATTGCTTTATGACCCTGGAAGCTTACTGAACTTCTCTGAGCCACCATTTTTCTTTTTATGAGGATTGAAAGCAGCTCTCTCTCTCTCTCTCTCTCTCTCTCTCCTCTAGGGGAGAGCATTATTCATAACCTGCATGTCTACTCATTCTGGGAGCTTTTGTAATTGGTAAAGGAGGTTTACTGCCCTCTGATAGGAAGTTTGAATTACCTGAAAGTATACTTTTTCCCGATTCCTATTTTATTTTTTTCCTATAGTAGCAATATATTTTACTGGATAGAAAACAAAATATAGATAAACAGAAAACTGAAAATAATAATCATGCTAAATCTCCACGTTGTGTTATTTTGTAACTTGTATTGTCAAAGATAAGCACAGCCAGACTTAGATAGAGCAGTGAAAACAGATTTTTTTTCAGTAACTGCTGACAATAGGGGAAAGAGTTGAGCCCCTTCTGATTCATGTAGAGGGGATGTGGATGTTTGGGTGAAGGAGGGTGGTGGAGAGCAGGTTCTCCACAGAGTCACAGAAGAGAGAAATTATAAAGGGACGGCCAGTGAGCATTCGGTTAGGCAGCTGTATCTACTAGGTGGCAGCTGGAATCAGGATTCCACCCTCCCACGGAGGAGACAGAGGCCCTCTCCTTCCAGATGATTACATTTCTAAGGCATGGCTCTCAGGTCCTTGAGAGAGACACTTCTGAGTTGTAGGAGACACTACTGTAAACTCCTTTTAGTAAACACTCTAAGAAAGGGCAGTCAGRGGCTGTCACTAGGTGCAAGTAAGATCAAATAGTATGCGCTTCCTCTGGCAGAATTGAGCTTTCTCAGGCAGCCACTTAAGTAGTGTCTGGAGTCACCTAGGGACATGGTCTTATGGGCTAGGAGCCAGGCTAGAGTTTGGCGTAGCCTCTGAGTGCAGGAGTTTGGAAGGAGTTATTATGTTTCTTCTGAGAAGAGTCTGTATATTCATTATATTTGCCCATTCAAAAATCTTTATCCCTCCATAATGATTAGATAGTGAAGACATGGGTTTTTAAAATTGTTTTATGTTGACAATATTTTTTCTCAGTAGTTATTGTATTTTTCTTAGTCTTGGTTGTTTTCAGATGTACAGAAGCTTGGGATTTTTATTAACCAAATCTATTCATCTTTTTMTTTACCATTTATTTCACGCTCAGTAAGATCTGTACCATCACAAGCTTATAAAAAATATGAACCTACACTGTTTCATGTATCTTTTATGATTTTATTTCTCTGCATTTAATTCTCCTTCACTTTGGAGAGTGCTATGATATAGGGCTCTACTTTATTTTTTAAAAAAATGATTAGCCAGTTATTCCAATATCATTTATTATATAATCTGTTCTTTCCCTTTCTATTGGACTTTCTGCCTTGATTAGATTTTTACTTTTTACTTACTTCTGGATCTCTTCATTTTCTTCTATGAATTATTATTCTTGAGCCAGACTTACTTAATTATTATAGCTTTAAAATAAAATTCAATATMTATTAAGGTAAGAGCCCTACCATTACTCTTCATTTTCAAAATGTCCTTGGCTAATCTCACCCATTTTTTTCTGGTAGGGAAATTTTAAAATTATTTTATGGCTATTCCCCTCTCTCTGCAATAGAACTCACAGTGATTTTCACTGGAATTGCATCCATGTGATAGTTCTGTTTGTAGACAATGGATGTTTTTACAATATTGAATCACTGAATCTTCTTTAGAAATGTGGTATGTTTCTCCTATTATCCAAAGCTTCCTTTTGTCTTTGTTAAATWTTTATCAAACATCTATAAATGCACCAGCTATCTAATTCCAAACATTCTCAAAAAATTATATACATCTATGTGCTTCTATTTTTTAGATCTTGCTAAAATTTATTATTTTCTTTGAGTGTTCCATATTTCCTTTTTAGTTAAACTTTAGATTTCATATTTTTTGTTGCTATTGTGAATGAAATTGCTCCCATTATTTTTAACCTATTGCAATTGCTAGTTATATACTATTGTTGATCTCCTGATTTACTTTTCCCAGGAGTTACAATTTTTCAGGGGAGATTCAACTGAGTTATTAAATAAAGCAATATTTATTCTCAAGACATTTTATTTTAAAAATTGCAAACATGCAGAAAAGTTGAAAGAAAAGTAGACTGAATATTCACATATTTTCCACTTAGATTTACCAATATTAATACTTTGCTAAATTTCCACTCTGTTTGTCTTACACACACACACACACACACACACACACACACACACATCATGGTTCTTTTGTTAACAATTTGAAAGAAAGTTGCAACAATCTTGACATTCTAACCTAGGTGTTGGCCAACTGGTATCCATAAATGGTCAGTGTTTACTCAGCCATTTCACTGTGACCAAAAGACTTGACAAGAAYAACATAGAGGAGGAAACATTTATTGGGTCTCGTGGTTTCAGAGGTCTCAGTCCATAGATGGTCAACTCCATTCTTTGGTTCCTGAGGTTAGGCTGATTATCATGGTGGAAGGGTATGGCAGAGGAAAGTGGCTGGGACCATGGCACTAGGAAGCAGAGAGAGACTAAGCTCAGCTCACACAATATATACCAAAGGCATACCCCAATGACCCACCTCCTCCAGCCACACCCTCCCTGCTTACAGTTACCACTCAGTTAATCCCTATCAGGGGATTAATACACTGACTAGGTTAAGGCTTTCAAAACCCAATCAATCCACCTCTGAACCTTCTTGCATTGTCTCACACATGAGCTTTTGGGGGACATCTCATATCTAAACCATAACAGGTCAGGTGGTAAATATTGTAGACTTGGGGAGCTATGCTGCCTATGTCATACGATTCACTGCCACTGTAGCATGATGGTAGCAACTATGGTCAGTATTGCAAACAAATGCATGTGGCTCTATTCTAACAAGACTTAATGTTATAAAATAGAGGCCTGGTTTGGCATGGGAACCTTAGCTTTTAGACTCCTGATTAAAAAACCTAAGAACTTGAACATGAGATCTGAAGAGCTACAATAATCATTATCACTCCAACTGAAATTAACAATAATACCAAAATAGTAAATCCARTCCAATCCACCGTGGAGAGAGGTCTATGTTGCTAGATTTTGTATGTGGTTATTTAAGTCTGCTGGGGAAGAAACCAGTTATTTATATATATCTCTAGCAATRATAGTCGTCACCTGCTCCATTTTGGCCACCTTCTTTCCCAGATAAGGCTGGGCCCCAGATGCCAGGAGGATAGTTCAATGCAGCTGGGTCCTGGGCTATGTTCACAAGGACACTGAAGGATCAAGTTACTTGTGGAGATTTTCTGTTTGATGGTGTCTCTTTGAGCCTCAGTGATAGACGGGGTGATAAATTGTGGGGTGCTCTGTGCCAGGGCTCATGAATGAGTTAGGAAGGCCCTCTGGCCTTTAGGACATTGAGGAACTCAGATGTAGGCTTTGGTGTTATTTACAAAGAAGGCTATGATGCATTTGTTTTCATTTAAAAAATTAATTTGCTAAATGTGAATGTTTCATCTTTAATAGAAACAGTCATTCAGACTCGGCATGGCCTCATTTGAAGAATCTTCAGAAATACAGGTTGTAACTGAGATCCCTGAGAGGCTGTGAAGGACAGTGTCTGACAGGAGTGGCAGATCAAGGAGTCTGGAATTGGTGGCTCCAGGTTTATGAGCTGGGGCATTTTTTGTTAGATCTTTAATGCACTCTTCTTTTATCATATTGAGTTCTTCATCCCAGGAAACAGTTAAGCACAGGCTGAAACATTATTGAAAAGATTTCTGTGGTGGATTACAGATGCTGGTGGCAAATTCTTTGTCACCTCTCCCTTTGACAGTTGGTGGTGTTTATTCCCTACCCCCTTTCCTTCAAGTCCCACTGGCTTTGAGATTAGTTCCCCCCCCCCCAGTACTGGGGATTGGACTCAGGGGTCCTTTACCACTGAGGATGTAACCCCAGCCCTTTTAATATTTTTATTTTGAAATAAGGTTTTGGTCAGTTGCTGAGGCTGCCTTTGAACTTGTGATCTTCTTGCTTTGGTCTTCTGAGTTGCTTGGATTACAGGCATGTTCCATTGAACCTGGCTTGAGACTAGTTTTGTTGTGGAAGATACAAGTAGAAATGGCTCTCTGTAGTTTTTAAACATTTTTCAAATTAAAAAATAATTTACAAATTGTGTTTGTATTGCTAAAACATTTAAATATACAAAGAGCATAGAAAATAACAAAAATATGTGGATGTCCAACTCACAAATTCAACAAACATTACTGTTTTCCATGTTTACTTTATATTGAAAAAATTTAAAAAAAAAAACAATGTTGCTAGAACTATTAAGGTTCCTCATMCACTATCTCCCTACCAAGGAGTGGCCATTCTTCTGAAGTTGTATTTTCTTTCCATTTTTACTTTATGATATATAAGAATCCATAGAAACATAGTAACAATTTCTTACAAATTCTCTAATTCTCTATATATTCTCTAATTACTTATATAAACTGTCAAACTGAATACTCAGTTATTTTCAAAGTTTTTTCATATTAGTATCATTTAATGGCTGTATATAATTTTGTTTAAATGAGCATATCATATTTTTCTCCAATTCTTTCCTGATGAATTTAGGTCATTTTCAATTTTGGTTAGAAT